AAATTAGGAGAGGGAATTTGTTCAGTCAAAATTATCAATCAGTCCATCCATTTTGGTAGTTTTGGTAAATTGCTGGTTGACACTAGGTAATTTCATCAACTGCCAACGTCCTTTTCAGTTTTCGTTAGTATGGTAAACTATGTTTATCAACAGAAAATTTAAGAAATTTTACTTACTCACATGCGTTACGCCTTTCGGCAGCGGGCGGATTTAAATTTGAAAAAATATCAAACAGCGGATTGCAGTTTACCAACTACCAGAAAAATTATCAAGCTTCTTTCACGATAATTCGGTAGCCGGTACACCGATAATAAAATAATTTTACACAAAGAAAATACATTGGGTAGACTTACCGAACACCGAGTACAAAGGTCGTTGTGAGGACCCCTACTTTAGAACTGGATCAAAATCTTCAAAAACTTCAAACCAGTGGAGTTCAACTATTTAAAAGCAGTTGTGTTTTAAATTGTAATTTTAAAATGTCGTTAACAATTGCAAATCCACATATGCAATGTGGTTTCCATTTGGTTTTGTAATGTGTGGTCATATTTATTGGGCCGTATGCATAAAACCTAAGCAAGTGGTTTTTCTTAAAATTTTAGACCTTCTAAATACTCAATTTGTTCAAATAAATTTAAGTTAAAGGTATGCAATTTTAAGAAAACGCAATTGCTTAGTTTTTAAGCATATGACTCATTGTATGTAATTCCTCTGTATGTATTTTTTATTTTGTTAAAAAAAATACAATAAACAAAAATTTGGCGATTTTTTGGCCAAAATGACGATATTTTTAGGGCAAAGTCACGATTTTCCAGCGAAATGTTTCGGCAACGCTATGCATATCCAAGAATTCAGATTTAAAAAGTTAGAAATTTTGGGGGGACCTATGCAATCTTCCGTAGCAAGTGGGACAAAATGTCAAAATGGGGGACAAGCGTATTTTTTGAATTTTTAACCAAATTCATGAAAACCTAAAAACTAGTTAGTTTAGAATTAAAATTGTACTTAAACAGCAAACAATATTAGTTGAAAATGCCCCAAAAGAGACTAAGTAAATCAGAAAGGCTTATGGAACTTATTTGTTCAAGAACTGCTACACCTGCTTTATGATATTCACCGCAACAGTTTACACTGGCTTTCTTTGCATCAGAATTAGGTAAATCTTTTGCTTTTCTGGTACAAATGGAAGTTCAGTTTTAAAAGCTATAGGAAAGGCAAACAAATCTTTACGTGTACGGTGATTATCTCAGAAAAAAATCGAAATTTTGTTTACTTTGTCGCAAAACAAAATAAAATAAAAGACTACTTTGCTGTGATAAATCTTAAATTGGGAATATGGGGATTATTTTAGTAAAGAAACTTTAACAGGCCTTTTGAGCAAAAATTATTTCATTTAATCAAAAATAGTATCTCAATAGCTTGTGAAAGAATATCAAACAGGAATTTTTAAGTTAAAACATGACGCGATTGGTCCTTAGATGAACCCAATAATATTTTTTTTTGAAATTTACCAATAATCACCGTAGATTTTTTATAAGACCCAATAGTTTAAGAAAATAGTTATAAAAAGTTTTTTTCTTTCCTGTAAAATTTTTAAAAATATTCCTAGAAACTTTTCATTCTAAGCTAGCGATTTGCTTTTATATTACAACAATAAAAATTTCAACACATACCTACGCCTTTAAATTTTTATAAATTTCTGTATTCTATTGATTCTTAAAACTTATTAAACTTGTTCAACATGTTGCCCAAAATTTTATATTTTAAATTGGAATGGCGTCTAAACCCCGCCATTTTTGCCTTTATGTGAAGATTCTTATTCGTTTGAAATTTATTACTTGCGCAAAATCAATTTCAATTTCGTGCCACTGTTTAAGCCAGTGAATAACTGCATTCACGAAAACACCAGAAATGTTCAGTAAAGCAATTAAGTGGAAATGTTGGTAGTCCTGCATTACCTTAAACTCTTTAACGAACCACAGTTGAAGGAACCTAAATTAAAGTGCGTCTTGTCTCTTTATGAACATGAAAGGATGTTTGCTGACATATACTCTACATGCATACATACATATGTGATACATATGAGGATATGTGTACACAATTACTATGTAGAAAATATACATAGATGCTTATGCATATAAAAAAATTAAGTCACATAGAATCACCTGGAGAGCATGAAGCCCTTAGAAAATTACTCGAATTTCTGCGAAAAATATGTTGTGACTAAAATATTGTAGGCATAGTTTATTTAAAATATTATTACCAGACTTCCACGAAGCGTAAACATATGTTGTCTGCTACTTTAGGACGAGGCTTCTACAAGTGCATGCGTGAAGGACAACGCTTAATTACCGATACGTATAATTAAAATAAAAAAACATTCACCGTTCTGACTTGAGAGTTGAGCAGGAGGACAAACAAGGCACACACATGATGACGGGCCACAAAGGCGCACATATAAAAATGCTTGAAAAGTGAAAAGGCCCGATGACAAAATGACTGTTGGCCTGTCAAAACGAATGAGTGTATGTTGCAGTTGCTGCTGCTGCTGGTCAACGGTGGTGGCGAGTGTACAAATTACTGATGCCATTTTACCTGAAGTGTAATGATGACAGCAAATAACAACAACAAAACCCAAAGCATAAAATACATATTCATTTTAAAATTTATGTATGGCACCGCCTACAATGCACAAATATGCACTCATACTCATCGTTATACATGCATATGTACATCCATATGTATTTACCTGCATAATCAATGAATTACCTGCTGAAATGCATCACTTCTGAGTCATCTCTCCGCTCTGCTTTCGCATTTTATGTTTTGCGTGTTTGTTTTTCATTGCTTTGTGGCTCCTTCCACATATAGGTACATACATACGTATGTATGTAGGTATGCATGTTCCTCTGTCCATTCATCCGTGTGAGACTTCATTTCAACCCTGCAGAAGAAACTCAAAATAGAGAATCAAATTTCTAAGTAGTACTTTATCGCCAAAAACGAACCAATCTGATGTTAACTAGATCCACATTAGTCCAAAAGTAGCGAAATGTGGTAATTTTACAAAACTAGTTTATTTTCCTTTTTAAAACTACACTAGGAGTGCCAGTTACTGTCGAAAATCGACCGTTTTTCTAGTTTTTTAAGACTTTTAGAGAGGTTTTCTAAATTAGCACGTAGTTTAACTCATGAGGTGCAAAATTACTCACCGAAAAATGTCGTATTTGGAACAAACACGTGACTAAAATTTTGTATATCTTTGAAGGGCTTTGGCAGGGCTTGGAATTGACCGGATACATTCCAGTTTGCCAATAAATTTCGTTAATTTGAGGCATGTCGATAATTCAACAACTCGATTAAGCTCCAGACATGTGCCTTTCGACGGCTCGATAAATTTCGATAACTTAAAAATATATATATCTCGATATAAATCGATAACTACTCGATACATTTTAGGCACCTTTCTAAATTACTATAATTCGGTTAATTTTTATGACACCATATTTTTCGAAAGCTATCGATAAATTTCGATAACTCGTTACACTCTGGTAACGCACTAAAATTCGATAACCAGTGATAACTCGATAAACTTATATAACCTTGAAATTTCGATAACTCCACATATTTTGAAAATTCCAAAAACTTCGGTTCGATAAATCGACAAATATCAGTAAATCAATAAATATCGATAACTCGATAACTTCATACATTACGATAACTCGACAAATTTCGGTAACTCTATAAATAATGATAATTCAATAAATATCGATAACTTGATAAATTGCATTAACTTGACAAATTCGCTTCGAAAATTTATACAACTAATTTCTTGTGTCTAGAAATTTCCAGATAACTCAGTAAACATTGATCAATTTTGATAATTCGATACGTTGCGATAACTCAATAATCATGGATAGCTCGGTCAATTTCGCTAACAATAAACTTCGATGATTTGATAAATTTCGGTAACGTGGTAACTTTTGATAACTAATTTCACATGGCTGAATTTATTTCGATTCCTATTGAAAACCTATAATAAGCTTTTCTTACCCTTTCTTTTATCTGCCCTAATTCTCTTTATTTTCATTTTCGCCTTCAACTTAAATTATGCCTTCACATTTTTGTCTTTAACGTTATAATTTATTTTTTCTAAATTATCTTTATTACTAAGATTAATCTCTAATTCCAAGTAAAACCAAATGCAAGAAAAGCTTCAAATTGAACAAGAACTATATACAAATACGGAAATTTCATCTATAGAAAAAAAAACGGTTTTCCTTTTGAAATCGGTTCCGTAGAATCGCCAAACGTCCGTAACAAAATTTATATTAGCATATTAATATATAGATATCGCTAGTTTAGAGTGAAAAATTGATAAGTCCACTTTTTCTAAGAAATTATAAATTGATGCAAGAAGTGAAAACAATTACAAATCGATTTCTTAAAGATCGAGCTTCCCCCATATTTCACCACTAGCCATTTCCATTCAGTTAAATATGTATGAATAAAAAATCTTTCCACTAGAAATGTGGATCTAAGGTGTCGAATTTAGAACTAGTTCGGAACAATAGAATAAGGGATGCAGAACGAACTATATCGAATTTGGAACTGAACCAGTTCGGCAATAGTGCGTTTCCCTACTGGGAATCCACAAACATATGTGATTGTTTGTATGCGATTGTTGCCATTCATCATTCATATTTGTTATGCCTGCTCATGCCTCAAGGATATTAGTACTAAATATTTACACACATATGTACATATGTATGTACGTGCCGTCTCTGTTCCTTTGAAATAATTGTTTGCATTTGTTTTCGACCGGCACTTGTCATAATTATCCAGCCGTCAGTGCCACTGACAGTGCAGCAACTCTGACCCATTCAGTGCCGAACTAACATCACATGTGTACACATACGTGCTCCCATATGGTTATTCCTAAAAAACTTTTTATTCCACAGTCTCAAAAAAAAAAATTAAATATGAACAATGAAATGCGATAAACAAAAACAGAGAACAAAATGTGATAACGAAAAAATAAACAATAAATTGTGCAATAAAATATAAGGATCGCAACAAGCGAACTGGAGTGCTGTACCAAACGACGCAAAAGTGAGACCAAAAAGGTACTAATATTTAGCGTTAAACAAAATAACAGCAAAAATTATTTGGAATTACATACAGGATATGCTAGTCGGATTGGCTGTCGAAAAGTGTGAGTGGTTTTAGCAAGAATTAAAGTGTATGTTTATTGTAAATGCCAGTGAGTTTTTATATTTAACTATACAAACATATATTGGCGTGTTGGCACAGCTTAAAAAATATATTTTGCAAAAATTATTTAGCCAAGTGGACCCACTCGCTAATCAGAGGAGGATATGGATAAAACGGAAACTTAAAAACAAGAAACCGATGGTGATTTCGTTTCTTTCAAAAAATGTTGCCCTTCCCTTGTGCAAAATGTGTTTGATGTTACACTCAACCCTGTAAAAGGGCATGTTTTTGCCTTCTTGTCCATGCCTAGCTCATGCATATCACAATGTTGTCGTTTTCAGCAACCATCGGATTTTCTGGGCAACCATCTCCCTTGCCAAAGCTTCGAGGGCAGAAAATGTGCCCCTTTTTTGCCTTAAAAGAGTGTGACATTTTAAGAACTGAGCACAAAATTTTCTCACCGTTTGCCTTTATTTTAGAATCGAACACAAAAAGAGAAAGGGGCAATCAAAAGGGGATATTTTTCGGTAGAAACGAAATCACCATTAAAGTCTCCTGTTTCAGCACATTAAAGTTACCCCATTTCAGAATAGGAGGATATGAAATTTTTTATTATATGAAGGGCGTTGTTGTGTCGTCAATGCCTATAGTATAATTTCACAAAAAAAAATAAATAAATCGCCTTTCTCCACGGTATGTTTTTATATTGCAAACGGTAATTGAATTAAAATTTTTCGCCTGAGTGCTTCTGAGTACAAAAATAATCGATTATTTTCAAGCGACTAGTTAACCCGCATGACGTTAAAGCGCCAAAGTTGAATTCAAAATTTTAAACAGGTGGCAACTCTCTTCGAAAACCAAAACAGTATTCCACATGGTACCAGGTTTTTAAATTTATAATCACCCTGTACCGTTAAAAAATTCTAACGTTAAAACCCAAAACGTTATTGCGCCAAGCTCTCTAATTTTACATCTCATTTTTTAAATTCGAAATAGCGGTGCAGATCTCATGAACTTCACAAAAAAATTTTATTGAATGTACATAAGGGTGGTCCAAAAAAGTAAAGTCGGAATTTTAATGCTCTCTACCCTAGGATTGTTCTATACCGAAAAAAATATATCCCTATTTTTTTAGGTGCTCAAACTTTTCCATGAAAAAAAACAACTTTTCGTAGAAATGGTATAGAATTCTTGAAAACCAATATTTTTCAATCGGAAAACTCTAGTTCTCGTCAGGAGACTTCGAATACTAATATCCAATTCTTTATTTAACCAGTTTTTAATACTAAATATTTTTTATTGGTTCCCCCATTGCATTTTTTGGGGTTTTTGGCGGACTTATAAAATATAGTTACTATGAAGAAATGGTTGAAGAAACAATTGGGTATTATTATTGGGAATCTCCTGAAGAGAAACAGAGTTTCATTTCATTTCATTTATTTCAAAAACATTAGTACAATAAGACTTATATTACGTTCAAATTGGCCCAATTTAACTTGTTAAATGAAACAGAGCTTTTTGGAAAACAAAATCGTCCACATTGAACATTTGGAGTTAACTTTGACGGTTATTTGATTACCAATAAAAATTCGAAAAAAAATATTCAAAATCAAGTTTTTGTGTTTCAATTTGTTTTGTGCGAATGTCTGCTTCATGATATTAACGCATACGGATTAATTAGAGACTTCAAAATGTTTTGTTCGTATGCACTATTTATCTCTGCGTGCGATGAGACCTCATGGGAAATAACTAATTACCGCATTGGCCTCTTTTTTGGCGGGCAGTCATGCATACAATTTTGATATTTTTTGATAATTTTTAATTTTTAATATTTTTCTGAATATAAATTTTTTGAATGTTGAGATGTCAAATGAAAGCTTTTGGGTCTTTCTGATTGGCCGGAGCTGAAAGCTTTCCGATACAACTCTGCGTTAAACTGGTTTTCAAACGAGTTAAATGATTTAACTGGTTCAATTTTCCAACAACAATTGCATGCGATTTAACTTGTTTATGAACATGTTTTGTTCATTTAACTGGTTCAAGCCCATTTAACATGTTTAGCTCGTCAATTTGAACGTAGTATTAGTCTTTTTTTGTACGACAGGTTCATACGAATCACAAATTACAAATAGAATACATACAACAATAGATGGAAAAAATGGTTTTCAAGAATTGTATACCATGGCTGCTTCGAAAATTTCAAAATACAAAGCATCAGTATCTTTTATTTCTAAACCTCAGTAGATTGTAATTCTAAATGTGCGCAACCAAGGTGAGATCCACTAGGTTGCGCAAATTAGACATTTTCTCCAAGTGTTGTTTAGAAATAAAATATACTGATGCTTTGTATTTTGACGTTTTGGAATTCACCACATTTCTACGAAAAGTTTTTTTCCCCATTAAAATTACTTGAAAAAGGCGAAAAACAACGCCGAACGCGTAGGAGGAAAAAAGGAAACTTGTTTTTGCTTTTTTAAACTACCGGCCGGAAAAGCTCCTAAAATAACAAAAAGATTACTTGGAAAACTTTGAGCGCTTTGAACGCTCCCTACATATTTTTTGATTAAAAAAAAAAAATAAAATAGGTATAGAACCGCCCTAGGAGGTGCCGGCATTATAATTCAAACTTTATTTTTTCACATGCATTTTTGGATCACCCTAATGTATTTATATAAATGCTGTATATATATTGCATATCTACGGACATTCTTGTGTTTTTTTCATCGGAAAGCATTTTACTTATAACAGATATATACGGCGAGAGATTTCTGTTATAAATTTAATATAAATCGGAGCTTAGATTTATTTGGATGGGATTTTATTAACCCATAGGGTGCGAAAATCTATTAAGCGTCGGAATAGAAGGGATTTCCTTGTCAGAACCGGTTTTGACGCCGTTGAGAAAATCTCAGTTACGGAAATCTAACCACGCTCTTGACGGCAACAACACTTTGTCTGGAAAATTTCCGACCAGGCAGCTGTATATGACCACTCTAGCCTTACGCACTCTTTCCTGAATATTTCGCATCCAGTGCGGGGTCCGAAACACGGCATCTGTAATCGAATGAAACTAGATTCGAAATTTCATTTTGAGATTACGACCGTCGATAACGAGTCCGCTCTTTCGGTGATATTGGAGAGAAAAGAGCACTCATTTTATTTCACTAAGTTTGGGCAGACCTTTTATACAGAATTATTCCCAGAGGCTTCGGAAATTCGCTTAGATTACTCTTACTATAGCCGATTGAAGAAGTCACACGAAACTAAATCAGTTGGTCTAAAACCTTTTATTTAGTTCCGACCGGCGCTGAGAGTTTCTTCCCAGTTTGGACGGAGCTCAAAATTGTGCTCAACGTCATTCTACACAAATGTATGAGTTGTGTGGAGATCTTAATTTTAGAAACGACCAAGAGGGGGTGTGTGTCGGTCGATTCGCGTATCTAAGATCTTAAGGAGAATTTTACGCACTATGGAAATGTATTGAATGGTGGATTTACCAGGTCTAAAGCTGCACTAATAAAATTAAATTAGTTTGTTCATGAAAGGCTTTAGTTTTCACATGGTATTGTCGGTAGAATCATATAAGCAATAAATAATATAAAAAAAAAACTTTTTAATATACAACGCTTTTATAAATGGACTAAAAAGTAGAAAATAATATTTTTCAGTCCCATAGAATTTGTTTTGATAACTTTTGATTTTGAAATTTTAGCAAAAGTCATTATAAACAATCTATGAAATTGAAAATGAAAAACGTGGAGCGCATGCAATACAAAGCATTCGATTTAATTGACAATAGTCAAACTACATAACGTAGACCTAAAATTTCTACAGCGAAAGTAGAACTTTGAAATCGATTTTAAGCGGTCGTTCATATACCCACATACATATGAACATATATTACTTTTCATATCAATTCAAGTATATTACATGCGCCCCACGCTTTTCATTTTCAATTTCATAGATTGTTTATAATGACTTTTGCTAAAATTTCAAAATCAAAAGTTATCAAAACACATTCTATGGGACTGAGAAATATTATTTTCTACTTTTTAGTCCATTTATAAAAGCGTTGTATATTAAAAAGTTTTTTTATATTATTTATTTTCTACTTTTTAGTCCTGTCTGAATAAAATTTTGCAATAGATATTAAAATAATTCAACGATATTAATAGAAAGGTGCACACACATGCATTTACATATGTATGTACATACAAACGAGCACCAATTAATTTTATTTAAAGAAATGGCGTGTCGTATATTTCCGCTGTAGCAAACGTAGTACATAGGGCGACATCTAGATGTCATCTACCTCGCCCTATTCACTACAGATGTCGCCCTATGCACTATGCTTTTTTATAGGAACTTTTCAAAGCAAAGGTTTTATGGTGTCGGACACACAACATTGAAAGTTTCTGGATCCACAACATTGAAAGTTTCTGGACACACACCATTGCAAGTTGATAAAAGCGTTGTAATAATAAGGCGACTGATCGTGCGATAATTGGCGCAAACTACATACAATATCTCCCTTTATGTGTTTTTTTTTCAGAGAAGGAAGCATCGAAAGCCTAACCCCAAAAATCATAGTGTGAAACTTTAACTCACTAAACCTTCTGTCGTCTATGTACCGATACCCCCGGTACCACCGTTAGGTATTTCGTCGGGAGGCGTTGTGACTGTTCACATTCTTCCACCCACGGTTTGTCTAGGTTTTGTAATAAACCTACTCACCCCATTGACATTTTACAACTACGAAGTTCGTTTCTAAGTCTAGTGATGTCGGGTGCAGCGATTTATTGCTGCTTATACGATTTTTTGCGAGGTTCGCCCTCTTCGGGCCGTAACTTCTCAAGGAAAACGAGCTTTAAGCTGGCCTGAACAAGTTATATGATATGGCCTCTCATTATCTCGCCCGTCTTGCCTGCGCCTCACTTGCTCGCTGTTGCGGATTTGATGTATAACTATGGCAAAAGTGACTTTAAGTTCGTGGAAATCTACTTCGCAGTGCTGTCTTTTGATCCATAAATCGATATTAGGGATGAGGCGATGTGGCCACCTGCCTTTTGTTGCGCTATCCTACCTCGCTTGCCATTCCAATATATTTTTTTGTCTCAATAAAGAGGTGTGAATTTCCTGTTCCTCGTGCTTAGATTTTCTTTTTTAACCGCTTCCTGTGTCAAGAGGTCCAGTAGAAGCATACCAGAGATGACAAGTGCTGCGTCTTCTGTATGCAGATCATACTCGGAGTTCTGTTCATACCCTGATGCATCGAAACACCACAATGTACCACAGTAAAGGTACAAGCACCAATCTTTGTAGTACTACGGCCGTGAGGGCATAATATTTAGACTCATTGTCACTACTGTATCTGAGGGTGCGGTTACTGATGTAGCTTCTCTTCATGTGGTTTGAGCAGAGTGCACAAAGATTAAATCATCAGGATTTTTTAATCTCCAAATGTTGTTGTTTTTTCAACCTCATTCAGCTCGTCTCGCTCGAGAGCGAATCGTTCTGGGCTCGTATTTCATTAAAACACTGACATTAAGCAAGAATAGAATGCATGCTTACATGTATTAAATACGTTATTAAACGCTGACTATTTTGATGTTAAATCAAACTTTCACTTCTGAACACATTTTCAACCGTAAATTTGAAAGCACAGACAGGTGCACAAGAAATATGCAAACAAAGTTTTAACCCAAAGTAAATCATGAGAGCAGAACACATTTGCATGCATTTAACTTAAAACACCAACTAATTGCACATTGTTGCAGCCAAGCGCAAGGATGCGGTAATACTACTTCAGTGCGGTTTTTCGCAAAAAAAGAAGAAAAAAACATAAAAATTAATGGCGTTACACACACGCAACGTCACATGTGCGTCGCATTAGGATCTCAAAGGTGCAGGAACTGCGCTACTTAAAACGCCTTCTTTGCCATAGTTTTCTTTTTTTTTTTAAATACTGCTACTACTTATTTATTTACCCACATACGCATGCATACTATCTTTCATTTGTGTGTTTGTTTTGACTACCAATTTACTTCTTTCAACTAGTTTTTTACACTGTCTTCATTTGAATCGGTTTGTGGCTGCGGCACAGCTGGTTTCAACTTGATATACTCACTCCCTCTAGGAGCGAAGCGCATATATAGACAGGCAGGTAAAACAATTTTACACGCAGTTTATTTATTTTTTTTCAAGTTTTTTACTCTGCAGCGTTTGCGAAGTGGGCAAATAAAAATGTTTACCGCGACTTGGCAATAACATCAAACTTTTTGCGTTTTTATTCTCTACCCACAGCCCTTCTTTGCTTCAGCAGATATGTGTAAATGAGAATTTGTATTTAAAGCAACATTCAGCAGTTTACTCATCAACTGCGTGGAAGTTTTTTAATTTCAATCATATCCTCGCATATCCTGCTGCTTTGTGAGTGTGAACATATTTACTTACTTACATATATGCACACACACATATGTATATAGTCCTCCTTGTTGACGGGGCTCACGTAACATTGGCTTGAAATAAGTCATACACGCATGCATAGACACGTTGATTCTAATTAATTCATACATACGAAGTAGTAAGATAAAAAACAAACACCTACATACTCTCTGCTCCACAGGCAGCTCCAGCTATATATGTATGTATATCAGCATGTGTCTAAAAATTTACAAAAAAAAAAACAAGATATAGCGCCCTCTAACCTTCTGAGTTTTGGTCTACCTTAACGAGCGTACTGGCATGTTTGCATAAAAAATCTCAAGCCTGAAATCTAAAGAAAAATGCCGCATTAGTTGAGTTCTGTTCTGTGTACCGAAAAAGTCAAGAAAGACAAATAAAACGCATACATCAGCTATTATCACACATTAAATGTGTGTGCATGCGTGTTTATTCTTTTTCTTTTATACATACATGCATACCCGTATTTAGATATGTATGTCTATAGATGACAGTGGATGTGATTTTTTCCTACATATGTATGTATGTAAATCCGCTCACTTGAAAACAAAAAACGTTACTCCGTAAAGACACAGTGTGCTTAACTATATCCTGAAGGATATGCACAGCGGCACGTATCTGAGATTGCAACTTTCGAATATACGTATGTTTTTCTTATTTTTCTTGGAGCGCTACAACTGGAAGCAGCAGGCTGTTATGTGAAAGTTAGTTTAAAAATATGACTGAAGTTTTACAGATAGTACATAAGCATAATTAGCTCGCAAGGTTAGGTTAGGTTGCGATGATCCTCCTCTGAGTGTTGAAGTGATTCCAACTCATGATCCTCCAGGTAACTGCGGTAGTAAGGATCAGGCAGTGATCTATCAGAATCTCCACTAGAACTGAGAGCTGTGAGTTTTCAAGCATAAGCAGTACCTTTCATCCTCCCCGGTCTAGAATCCAGATCCAAAGCCAAAAGGACCTTGCAATTACACATGGCTTGTTTTTCCGCCGACCTTCGGGGGCTGTCACGTGCCCGTCTGTTAAGAGTAAACCACAAATGATCAGTGGCGCTCTCACTTGCCGCTTGGCTATCATAATATATGTATGCCTGCGTCTCACATTAACGTCACACTCTTGAACAGTATATCTCCTGCCTCGCACCAGCAGAAATTTCTGCCTAAAAAACACCACAGCGTCACTAAGCCTAAACTTGATGTTGATGGAGAGCTCACGGCGCAAGACCCCACTATTAACTCATCCAGCAACCTTCGAGTCATCAGTGAAAGACTTCATTGCAACCCATCTGCCGTTCTGTAAGCCTGATTTCAGCCCTTGCTGCGGGAGTTTTAGCTACAATTTCAGCAGGTATTGCGTTCATAAAGACGTTATGCGCCAGAGTGGGAGTAATCTAAAATACATTACTAATACCATTGAGACCAACCAGTTGTACGCACTTTAACTTCCTAATTAGTGAAGCTTTCTGCTGCGAATTCCTCTAGGAAATAACTCCATAAACATTCTTTTTCGAATGTTAGGTTTTCACGACAGCTTTCTATTTAGGATCAGGCCAATCTCGTTTACCCTTTCAGAAAGCTTTAATCGCGTTTCCACTCCGCAGGGTCTGGGTTCAAGCCCAAAAGTTTTTTCTTAACAGCGGTCGCCGCTCAGCATGAAAAACAGCTTCTGATTAAAATACAATCGCCGTTCGCAGTCGGCGTAAAACTGTAGATCCCTCTTTTTTTGGCTGTCGTATGTTTGTACGCGCATCCCTCGAAAACTAATGTATGGAATTGAATGTAATTTTCACCGGTGTATTGCTAGTGGTCAAACTTAAAACATAGAAAGCAAAAAAATTAGAATGTTGCTACCTGTTTGAAAATTGCAGTGTATGTAAATTGATAGGATAAGGTAAATGTTCTAATACGGCTGTCCAAAGAAAGAGGTTTAAGAAGGCTTACAGACGAAAATATTTTTGTGGAAGGTTGCCATGTATTTGAAATTTTTAATTTAATTCATTTGAGAAGATAAATTGAAAATTAGCAATATGGGTATCAAACTGAAGAGGTTTAGCAAAGTTTACTGCAAATAATATTTTTGAGGAGGGTTGCCATTTGTTTGAAAAATTTTATTCAATTAAATCGTTAAAATAAATGAAATAAATAAATTCGGGTATTAAACAATGCAAAAATTTATAAAGCGCAGTGAAGCACCCGGGGCATTTGCTAGTATTGTATAAAGCTGTTACTTTGAAGATTATTCTTTTTAGGCGATAGTCGTGTCTTCAAGCCAATAAAACTATTTTTGTAAACATGTCCATAAAAATTGGGCAGAATTACTTAAAAAGTTCGTATGTTTCATCCGTTTACTGACTACTTTTTAATTATTTCTTTCCGCTAAAGTGATAGGCGGAAAGAAAATCTAAATAGGCCACCCGAAAAGGTCAAAGCAAAAACAAGTTCTGAAACCTTTAGTAGTCTATGGTCTGTTGAGTCCGCTTTAATAGACATAAAACATGAAAAGTGAATCAACTTTACAAAGAAATTACTTAAAGACGGAACGTAAATTATTAAAAGACATTGTCTTTAAGGGAAAGAGCAACCGGGAAAAACATTTTGATTCAAGCAAAAACATATTGATTCTGATCTCTCTAAGTTTTTAAGAAAATGGGGTATTGTTGGGGATAATATGTTTTTATGAGACAGTCCTTGTTTGGAAAAAAAGCAAGTAATACTTTTGGAAGAGTTCAATAATTCGGTGTGGATTTAGAAAGCATTTCGGGATATTTAGCAACCCCCAAATCATTGCATATGTAAAAAAGTGTGGCAGAAACATGGCATAAGCCGATTTTTACTATCGTAGGTGTATTTCGTAGTCGACTTTATCTAACCAAATTATTTCACCTGCCTATTTTCTCCATTCTAGTATACTTTCTAGGTATGCAAATGCCGAGTGCTGCAAAATTTCGGCTGTGACAGCCAAATGAAGACATTAAAATGATATATGCTGAAACTCATTAACATATTATCACACATAGCATATGTCATGAATATCTTAAGACGTGTGGAAAGCATGCATGCATATATACATATATACATATACATACGCACATCATTGTACTATCGTATCCTTAGGCAGCTGTGCCATTGTCTTGTAGCTTTTTGTTTGGGGCATGGGAAGGAGTTCCTAAAAAATCGTAAAGAAAACAGCAAGATAAGCTACCTGCACACTATATTTTCCGCGCTTTTTTTAAAAAAAAAAATACAACAAAAAACCAACAGCAACTCAAACTCTTGTTTATCTTTTGTCTCTATCTCGTTGCAGACACAACGACTGCTTCAAATTCAAATTCAGTCGACGAGCCGCTCAGCAGACCTGCGCCAGCGAAAATGGAAATAGCAAGTCAGCTGTAGAGTAAACAGCGACAACGCAAACAAAAAATACAAATCACTACAACCGGCAACAACAATCACAGCTCAAAAGAGGCTCCTTACATTTTTCGCATCGTTCGGCAGTTACGTGTAGGTGTACCACGTGACGCTGCTACCGCTCCTGCACCACCGCTTTCGAGACATTCGTCACAGCATTCGAGTATTTCACGTGTCAGAAAGCATAGATTTACCCGGCTGAATGTTAAAGGAACCGGTAGACGTTGTTAAAAGACGCAAATTGTCGTTGTCGCAGACGCATAGCATTGCGTCGACAGCCACGCCAGCGTCTATGGACAGCACATCGGTTGCCACCACGACGCCGCCAAATACACCGCCTACACCACCGCTCAACATGATAATGACCACAGCACGTAGTCATCAAAATATAAGCAACACCAGCAGCAGCAACAACAGCAGTAGCAGTAATAATGTCTGCGGTACGGGCAACACAACTTGTACACTGGTGGCCGCCAGTTCAGCGCCCACACTCGCGACCACTACAATGGCTAGCTCACTGTTGAGCACCGGCAGCCAGCACACACCCTCATCGAATAGCGCTACTGCTACTGCTGCCGCAGCCGTTGCTGCTGCAGTGGCTGCTGTTGCAGCCGCCAGTACCAACTCCGCAACACCCGCCAACGGCGTCACCAGTAGCGCCGTACAAGATCACTACAGCCTGCGTTGGAATAATCATCAAAATCATATATTGCGCGCTTTTGACGCACTCCTGCAGACCAAAACTCTGGTAGATGTGACGCTGGTGTGCGCCGAGACAAGCATACACGCGCACAAAATGGTGCTCTCAGCGTGTTCGCCCTTCTTTCAGCGCGTGTTCGCCGAGACGCCGTGCAAGCATCCGGTTATTGTGCTCAAGGACTTTCAGGGTTGGGTGGTGCAAGCCATCGTAGATTTCATGTATCGTGGTGAGATCAGCGTACCGCAGGAGCGTCTTCAGACCCTCATTCAGGCGGGTGAATCTCTGCAGGTGCGCGGTTTGGTCGAGAGTTCAGTGCCAGAGCATACACCGACACCAGCCGCATCCCCGGATGGCTTCGGTATGATCGATACGTCGCTGATGTCGCCTGAGCTTGAGCGTTGTTCAAGCTTTGATGATGAGTCACCATCGATGGTTACGGCCGGCTCTAAGGTGATATTGCCATCGAGACTATTCGGTTCAACAGCACGGCGGGAGCGCGAGCGTGAACGCAAGCGGGAACGTGCACTCGAGCGTGAGCTAGAAAGAGAAATAGAAAGTGACCAAGACCTGCCGTTAGATACGAGCATCAACTCAGACATTTGTACTTCTCCCATGCCAAGACGTAAGCAAGCGCGTCCGCGTCGACGCTCTGGTGATCTACCACTCGAAATGCCAAGCAAACCAGCTACGCCTGCACCCGTGGAGGAACCACCGCAAGCTGAATCCCTGCCCCTGTCGCTGGATGAGCAATTGGAGAAGGCGCATGCGGAGCGCTTAGAAGCTTTAAAGACTGTGATTAAAACTGAGCTGACCGAGCCAATGGACGAAGACGAGGGTGCTCGTCGTGATGATAGCGGAAACGGCAATGACAGTCACCAAGATAACAATGAAACCCAAGATAAGCCCGCAAGCACGTTTCAATCAAGTGAAGAACCCCAGCATAATAATCCACGCACGGATGTGGCACTTTCACCAGAGCCACTGAATGCGCATAGTTCGATGGACATTGAAAATGAGGAACAGGAACAGGAAGATGAAAATGATAATGACAATGACAATGACAATGATATTGAGCAAGAAAACGATGATGAGCAAATACCAGATGCGGAAGATATCGAGGAACTTATCAACGCCACCAATGAATTGCGTCGCAAATCGATGTCGAATCTCTCGGATGGCCCAGAGGATCTCTGTACAACGAAGAAGGATAAAAACGATATGAATGGCAGTCACTCGGCTAATGAAGTTGACGCGAGTCCTGCGAACAATAACAATAACAATAATAAATTAAACAACAACAATCGCATTGTATTGTCGCTAAAGGACATACGCCAATTAAATAAACCATCTTCTTCCTCCACCCCCAACTCATCGAATAACATGCACCCTTTTGCGACGGCCAGCCTCCGAGATCTGCGGCTAGATCGCGCCGTCAGCGCAGCAGCCGAGAATCAATGCAAAATGGATGCACTAGAGGCGCAGATGCACGCGGCTGCAGCAGCAGCAGCGGCGGCAGCAGCCAGTGGCGAGAATCCATTCCAACACATGGAACATCAGATGGATCTGTCTTTAGCGGCGGCCGCAGCAGCAGCCGCTGTTTCGCATCAACAGTCACGTGAACGTGATCAGGCAATGCAACGTGAACAACGTGAGTTCCAAGAACACCACAACGCCTATGCAAATAGCATACTGGGGCAAATGGGTATGCCCGGTATGTCACCGTTCGGACCGCCAGGTGGGCCTGTGGGGCCAGCACCGCATGAACGCCTCGAAGAGAGCATGAATCGATTGAGCAAGGAATTCGGGCCTAGCTCGCCTATGAGCCTGCCATCGCATTTCAATCCACCTGATGGGCCACCACATCCCCCTTCACCGCTGCAATTTCCGGGTATGTCATCTGCGTTGGCGCTCACGCCACCACACAGTGAGTAATTAGTTTAAGTGTTTAGAATATCATTAAACAATTAAGAGTCATATGTGGATGAAACGCGAGGAGATTGAGTATTCAAGAAAAGATATAAGGCAAACATGAATGGCTACATATCTATTGGGGTTATGGTAGCTAATAAACAATAAGTCGGTTTTTACGTATTTCACATCGGAGTATACACCATTTAAATCCCATTTAATGTATATCATTATTAAAGATCGAATTTGAGCCCAAGCCCGAAAATATTCATCATTATTTATTTCCCAAGAATCTATAGCGCTGATACTAAAATTAAACTGATCGCTAAAGGTGTTCTTACACGATATGTATTTGCATGTGTACATGCCACTTTTTACATATGGAAATGCCAACATATCGTGTAAAGGCAAATTAGATTTGTTTCTGTACAAAGCAGATGCACGTACATACGAAAAATAAATAATTCTATTTTCATCTGACGAAAGCATTCTCGCTTTATAAGCGGAACATTTTCGATCAACACATGCACTATTCATGCAGAGATCGGATCAGCCAATAGAAACGCAAATATGTAGTGGGTCAGAAACTTTTACTAAATTTAAAAAACTCAGTTAAATTTCAAGCTTCTAAGATTATAGGAAGCTCATCTGTTCATAGTTTTCACAGATGCNCATTTCAATCCACCTGATGGGCCACCACATCCCCCTTCACCGCTGCAATTTCCGGGTATGTCATCTGCGTTGGCGCTCACGCCACCACACAGTGAGTAATTAGTTTAAGTGTTTAGAATATCATTAAACAATTAAGAGTCATATGTGGATGAAACGCGAGGAGATTGAGTATTCAAGAAAAGATATAAGGCAAACATGAATGGCTACATATCTATTGGGGTTATGGTAGCTAATAAACAATAAGTCGGTTTTTACGTATTTCACATCGGAGTATACACCATTTAAATCCCATTTAATGTATATCATTATTAAAGATCGAATTTGAGCCCAAGCCCGAAAATATTCATCATTATTTATTTCCCAAGAATCTATAGCGCTGATACTAAAATTAAACTGANTATATCATTATTAAAGATCGAATTTGAGCCCAAGCCCGAAAATATTCATCATTATTTGTTTCCCAAGAATCTATAGCGCTGATACTAAAATTAAACTGATCGCTAAAGGTGTTCTTACACGATATGTACTTGCATGTGTACATGCCACTTTTTACATATGGAAATGCCAACATATCGTGTAAAGGCAAATTAGATTTGTTTCTGTACAAAGCAGATGCACGTACATACGAAAAATAAATAATGCTATTTTCATCTGACGAAAGCATTCTCGCTTTATAAGCGGAACATTTTCGATCAACACATGCACTATTCATGCAGAGATCGGATCAGCCAATAGAAACGCAAATATGTAGTGGGTCAGAAACTTTTACTAAATTTAAAAAACTCAGTTAAATTTCAAGCTTCTAAGATTATAGGAAGCTCATCTGTTCATAGTTTTCACAGATGCGTACATATATTCTAGTCAGAAATAATAAGTCTGTCGGAAAAAGTGTTTGAGCCTTCAGTTTTAGAAGACTCGAATGTCGAGTCGAGTCCACCGGTCGGTCCACCGAGTATAAAAGCGGTTGTTTCTCATAGTACTAAAAAGATGAAAATTAGTTAAAAAAAGGTAATATTTTAAAGACAGAGAAAGTCACGAAACTTCACCTAAAACTCCGAGGCCAGAACAAAAATATGATTGTTAAATTTTGCACCACAAAAACAACTCACTTGGTTACACTGTTCAGTAGTGCTGGGTAACTCTCTTTAAAACGAGTTCANCGAATGTCGAGTCGAGTCCACCGGTCGGTCCACCGAGTATAAAAGCGGTTTTTTCTCATAGTACTACAAAGATGAAAATTAGTTAAAAAAAGGTAATATTTTAAAGCCAGAGAAAGTCACGAAACTTCACCTAAAACTCCGAGGCTAGAACAAAAATATGATTATCAAATTTTGCACCACAAAAACAACTCACTTGGTTACACTGTTCAGTAGTGCTGCGTAACTCTCTTTAAAACGAGTTCGAGTCACTGAGCCAATCGCGAAAATTCGCTGTTGAAATGGGAAAAATGGAATGCAGTGGTTTGAGAAGCTACACCCTACAAGAAAGGGTATTCTTAACATCGTGGTAATGGAGTAGGTGTGTCTAAAAGTCATTGGTGGCTAAGGAGGCATGGATAGATTTAGAAACAGCTGGTCAAGCACTTAGATTGGAGATGGGGCTTTATCGCGAATCTTTTAACGAATAAAGGCAGACTTAGCTGCAGAAGATTTTTATAATGGGAAGTAGTTTATATANTCGCTTTATAAGCGGAACATTTTCGATCAACACATGCACTATTCATGCAGAGATCGGATCAGCCAATAGAAACGCAAATATGTAGTGGGTCAGAAACTTTTAGTAAATTTAAAAAACTCAGTTAAATTTCAAGCTTCTAAGATTATAGGGAGCTCATCTGTTCATAGTTTTCACAGATGCGTACATATTAGGGCTGTCCGATTATTCGATTACTCGAGCAAGTTGGTTAATCAGTTATTCGGTTAATCAATTACTCGAGTAATCAAGATTTTGATTACTCAAAACGATGTTTAATCGAGTTACTTGAAATATGATTACTCAAAAAAAAATAATTTTGCTCGTTAAAAGAGGTTGCTTTGGAAAATGCTTATTTTCTTTTTTATATTCTGTATATGAAAAAAATATGTATGTATGTATGTATTTCATTTTAATTTTTGAAAACAGATACGATTTTTCAAAGTATCAAGGAACTTCAACTGCTTNAGTCACTGAGCCAATCGCGAAAATTCGCTGTTGAAATGGGAAAAATGGAATGCAGTGGTTTGAGAAGCTACACCCTACAAGAAAGGGTATTCTTAACATCGTGGTAATGGAGTAGGTGTGTCTAAAAGTCATTGGTGGCTAAGGAGGCATGGATAGATTTAGAAACAGCTGGTCAAGCACTTAGATTGGAGATGGGGCTTTATCGCGAATCTTTTAACGAATAAAGGCAGACTTAGCTGCAGAAGATTTTTATAATGGGAAGTAGTTTATATAAGAAAAGGAAATGTGGGGGACCGGAATTAAACTACCGATTGAAAGAAATAGATTAGAACTGTAATACAAGTGGCCTTTTACCTTTTACCCTGACCCTAAGCCACCACATGGTTATCGTCTTTTGAAGTCTACACAGAGCTATAACCGCGACCTGTGAGGAATCTTGGGAAGGCAGATAAATAAACCATGTGATCTGCACACCGTCCGTAGTAACTAAGTACTTTCAAGTCATTACTATATGTACTAAACTAAATACTATCCCTAATGAAGTCGAGAAAATGTAATATTTCCACCCCCAATACCCCGCCCAGACTGCTCAAGAAGCGTGAGCGGCAGCTTCTGCAGACATTACTTTTTGGTATTCGCCACCATTGATTCATTGGTGCTATAGTGCCCTGTGATGACGTCGGTAAGGACTCTTACTGCAGACCTACAGAACTTTAATACATCTCTCGTCTTTTTCCTAATAACCCGCCGACATCACAATCTTGTGATCTCACAGTCTTTCCGTTTTTTCTACAAATCATTTGTCGCGGGCACGGTGTGTTTATCAATTTTCCTCACGTGATCACTAAACGATGGTAGTACTGAGCTATCCACTTCTTCTATTGGCATCTCCTAGCCATATCTGGCCATCTCATCAGCCGACTTATTCCTTAAATATAGCTATGTCCCACGGCAAGAGTGGTTTTGATACGGCTCAGTGACGCTAGCGTGGTGCGGCATTAACATACAATTTCCGATTTCACTATTTTAGATCATATTACCTTCAGTGCCGCTTGACTATCGACACAGATAGTGGCTTTATCTTCTGGAAGTCTATTACTAAGTAAAATCCGCCCTTTGTGTAGCGTACATCTCTACTTGGAAGACGGTGCAAACGTTCGATAGACGAAGGGGCCGGTTGATCCTCTGAGTCCTCTGAGTAGAGACTGGCTCCGGTCCCTTGTTCCATATGTTAACCATCAGTGTAGATGGATATACCTCCCTCTTCTACTGGCCGCCCTGCATCCCATTCTTCTCTGGTCGGGAACCTAATAGGTACCTTAGTATTGAAGTCCCAAACAGGCGCAATGTAATCAGTGCTGCCTTAAATGTCAGCCTTAATTCCATTGAGCCGGCCCTTTTTATTTCATTCAGTATTGTTGCATGCCCGAAATTGGCTGCCTTTCACGTATTGGCCTATATGAGCCTGAGGGAGTTCTTTGCCCCCCTACTATGGATGAAAATATGCATCGGTCCCCATCTTGAGGTATGCGACTTACTGCTGCCGATATGCCAAGGCATGCGAATCTCTGCAACTTGCCTATTGTTGCCTTTGTTTTGAGCCCTCCACAATACTAAGGACCCGCAGGTTGTAATTGGTCTAATGACTGTCGCGTACATCCCATAGGTAACGTACGGTGCTTCAAAAAGTCCTTACCATGTGTAGTATACTGCCAGAGATTCTTAGCTCTTTCCTCTCCATTTCTTTTCCAATTCAACTTAGAGTCCGAAGTATTTTGCCTGGGAGGAGAGATTCAAAGTTATTTTCCCTAATTTCGGCATACAAAACGTGGGTATTTTGTTTTCCCAGTAAACAGTACCAGTTCTGTCTTGGAGGCGCTAACCCTCCATCCATTCTGATTGGTCTAATTAGATATATCACCACTGTTTCGCTTATCGTTGACAAGGATTTCCAGATGATGAGTATCACCAAACCGTCGTCTCCAAGTTTTAAAAACCTCCATAATTGCGTTCACTACCAAGAGATAGAGGAGAGGGGATAGTACGAGTCAATCCATGCAACCGTAGGGCGCTGAATGCCGTGCTCAGAGAGTGCGTACTGAAAGCTCCTTCAGTATGTATTCAGAAGGGCAGCAAGGGTGTATTCCTTAAGATCTAGAGATGTTTCAATAGTGCCTACCACTTCGTGAAAC